AAACAGCAAACATGCTGACCTTTCACTTTCAGTAACATCCCAACTCCAGCACCTCCAGGAGTAAAAATCATCATTGCTGTGCCTCTGGAGAGGCTGCTTGCATATGAGGTGAGAGGGCATGCTGGGTAACAGGACTCACAGTAGACATGCTGTAGTGGTTGTGACTCTGAGGACCTTTGACCCGTTTCGCTGTGATATGTGCCATGCTCTCTTCCCTAGATGCACAGACAGTGTTGGGAAACCACGTTCAACGTGCGCAGCCCGTGCTGACGGGACGGTTCACACTGTACACAGGAAGAAACTCATTAACAATCACGTGACTCAGAGCAATATACACTACATCTGAGATCACAATGTTCTCATGTTACTGATAACAGCGTTTTAGTAGTTTGATGTTTATATACAAAGTGTGAAGCTAAACATAGGCTAGGGGTCAGAAAGTTTTTTGTTTTTTTTTAAGAAATTGATATGCTACTTTTATTCAGCAAGGATGCATTAAATTGATCCAAAGTGACAAGACTTTTATAATGCTACAAAATATTTCTATTTCAAATAAATGATCATTTGAACTTTTTTCATCAAGTAAAAAGTTTCACAGTTCCTACAAAAACATGAAGCAGCACAACTGTTTTCAACATCAATTATAATCAGAAATGTTTCTTGAGCAGCAAATCAGCATATCAGAATGATTTCTGAAGGATCATGTGACACTGAAGACTGGAGTAATGATGCTGAAAATTCAGGAATAAATTACATTTTACAATATATTCAAATAGAACACTGTTATTTTAAGTTGTAATAACATTTCACAATATTACTGTTTTTACTGTATTTTTGATCAAATATTTGCAGCCTTGGTGAGAGACTTCTTTCATTAAAAATCTTACTGACCCCACACTTTTCAATAAAATATTCAAATATGCCTATGCCCAAAACTGCTGTTGAATCCAACACTCAAATATGATGCCAAAAATAGTCAAATGTTTAAAAAATGGCAGATATTTTATTTAATTTGTATATATTTACCACATCCTCAGTAAACAGATGGCAGTAAATGTCGGTAAGACCGATCATACCATCAGCCGTCTGTCCTTCATGCATTCTCACACTCACACACACACACACACACACACACACACTCAGCTGTAAGATGACAGTGATGATGACTAAACAGTCTGGTGCTAATCTGAGCTCAGGTGAGTGAGCTGCACGTCTACAGGTCAGCCGCTGTATTGAGGTCAGTCAGAATTTGTTTACTGGGGACCATCACAATATGTTAAAGGGGTCATGACATGGATTTTTATTTATTCATTTATTTCATTTAATACGTTCCTTGAGGTTCACATTTTGATCCTCAGATCAAGAGTGTGATTAGTTTATCGCTTTGTAGTTTTTCAGTTCAGATTTACATTTCGTGAAATTGAAAAGTTTAATATTAATACAATCAATTACACAAAAAGTTTTTATTATTTTTTTTATAGTCATTTTTTATTTCGGTTTCCAGGCCAAGTGCATCTTGACTTTTCGGCCCAGAATTTTCATTTTGGTGCATCCCTAATCCTATATGCAACATCCTATATACTCAAATTATTCAAATTAACACACATTTAAAGTGAGAGATATATACATATACACGTATTTAAAAAAAAATATATATAACATATGTAACAAATTAACAAAAAAGTATTAGAATTAAAGATAAACAAATAATTATATAAAACAAATTAAAGATCTTTAAAACTATATTTTTTAAATGGCCTATTTTCATAAGTACAGGGTCAAATCAATACAATATAGATGTATAAACGAATTAATAAACATTTAAAGGGAGATTAAGAACAGACACCAGATGTCAGAAATCAGATTAATTTACATATTGGAAAATAAAACAATTAGATGACAAATGAACTAGCTAAAAGGTAAAAAAAAAAAAAAAGATTAAGATTAAGAAAAGTCTATTTTCATGCCAATAACAGGTTAAACTGAATAAAATATAGATTTATTCATTACTGATTATGTCACATGGACTGTTTCACCGATGTCCTAAAGTTATGTTTCTGGGCCTGGCAATATTTCAGTTACATTGCTGTCTATGCAGGGGCAGAAAGCCTTCGGATTTGATCAAAAATATCTTCATTTGTGTGATGAGCGAACGTGTTACGGTGAGTAATTAATGACAGAATTAAAAAAAAATTTGGTGAACTGTCCCTTTAACGGGGAGTTTCACTGGTTAGCGGACCTTACCTTATGTTCGTAGATTTATGTCGGATGTTTCGATGTGGACAGCAGTATCTTCGGGATGGAAATATGGATATTTGATTTGTAAACATCATTTTTTTTTCTCTCGCTTATTTCAGTTATTCTCATAAAACTAGCGAGCTACAGCATCGTATAAACATGGTAAGGCGCGAAAGGCGGAGGAACAGACAAACCGATTCAATTGAGTGAGTCATTTACTCTAGTACCACTCCGATTGATTCAAACTCAAACTCGTCAAGCTATAGCAAAAAAAAAAAAAAACGGTTCAAAAGAGCCATTCATTTTCAATTTTCGATATCACTTGTAATGATTTAGAAACACGTAGTGATGGGTAAAACTGAGTTTTTCTAAACTCCGAATCAGTTCAATCTTTGCTCGCACACTGATTCACTGTTTCGAAGTGCTCGAATCGGATCGCGAATCTTTTGATTCAGAGCGGGACTTAAAGGGTTAGTTCACCCAAAAATGAAAATTAGCTTGTGTTTTACTTACCCTCGAAGCATCCTAGGTGTACATGACTTTCTTCTTTCAGACGAATCCAGTCGGAGTTATATTAAAAATTGTCCTGGCTATTCCGAGCTCTATCATTGCAGTCAGCGGGTGTTGCAGTTGAACAGTCCACAAGTCGTCAAATAAAGCTTGCGCATTCATAATAAAATGTGCCGCAGACGGCTCCGGGGGATGAATAAAGGCCCCCTGTAGCGAATCCATGTGTTTTTGTAAAAAAATATCCATATTTCAAAAGTAATAAACACTTTTCTCTCACTTCTGCTGACTGTCAAACACTGAAGCGGTTCCGGCGGATGACGTAGCACGTATGCGTTGCGTGATTAGTGACGAATGCCGGTCACGAATTAGAAGTACAAACCGAGGATTTGCAAAGAAAAATGTCAGAGTATTTCGATATATAAACCAAGAAGAGACTGGTTTTCCTTTGCTAAAGTAAGGAAACTTTGCTTCCTTTGCTTCTGTAAACAAACTCGCGAGACTAGCATGTCTCAGAGGCGTGCGCATGCGCATACGTGTTGCGTCACCCGCCGGAACCGCTTCAGTGTTTGACAGTCAGCGGAAGTGAGAGAAAAGTGTTTATTACGTTTGAAATATGGATATTTTTCTTTAAAAAACACATGGATTCGCTACAGGGGGCCTTTATTCATCCCCCAGAGCCGTCTGCGGCACGTTTTATTATGAATGCGCAAGCTTTATTTGACGACTTGTGGACTGTTCAACTGCAACACCCGCTGACTGCAATGATAGAGCTTGGAATAGCCAGGACAATTTTTAATATAACTCCGACTGGATTCGTCTGAAAGAAGAAAGTCATGTACACCTAGGATGCTTCGAGGGTAAGTAAAACACAAGCTAATTTTCATTTTTGGGTGAACTAAAAAGTTTTTCTAAACTCTGAATCAGTTCAATCTTTGCTCGCACAGTGATTCACTGTTTCGAAGTGCTCAAATCGGATCGCGAATCTTTTGCTTCAGAGTGGGACTTAAAGGGTTAGTTCACCCAAAAATTTCAATTAGGCTGTGCTTTTCTCACCCCATAGGCATCCTAGTCGGAGTCGGCGTTGAGGTCGGCGTTGTGCATGCGCCAGTGAGTCTCATGAAAACCAATGTTTGTTAACAGGAGCAAAGGACGCAAAGTTTCCTTACTTTAGCAAAGGAAAACCAGTCTCCTCTTGGCTTATATCGAAATCCTCCGACATTCTTCTTTACAAATCCTCGTTTTGTACTTCTAATTCGTGACAGTTGTTTTGTTTTGATCTCTCCGCTGCGCTTCTGCGTTCGTCACTTCTGAGTGGCACATGCGCAAAGCTGACCTCATACGTCATCCGCCCGGAGCTGCTTCCGTGTACAACTGTTGGCACAAGCTAGATTAAAGTGATTATGACGTTTTGAATATGAATATTTTCTTACAAAAACGCATCAATTCATTACAGGAGGCCTTTGTTCACCCCCTGAAGCCGTGTGAGTCACTTTTTTTATGGATGGGCGCTTTTTATTTCACTTCTTTGGGACTGATGCACTGCAACACCAGCTGAGTGCAATGATAGAGCTTGGAATAGCCAGGACAATTTTTAATATAACTCCGACTGGATTCGTCTGAAAGAAGAAAGTCATATACACCTAGGATGCCTCGGGGGTGAGTAAAACACAGCCTAATTTTCAATTTTGGGTGAACTAACCCTTTAAGAGCGCATATCGCGAATCTTTTCTGATTAATTTTTTTATTGAACAGTGCAAAAAAAACCAAGGCAGTACAGTTATAAAACAAAAGAAAGAAAAAAGAAAGAGTATACACACAGATACAAATGTGTTTCCAGGTTTTTTTTTTTAAGTAATAAACGTACACCTTGAGACACAACTAGATAACCTACAGCTCTGACTGCTTTAGGATTAACAGAGCTTTGGATAGTTTTTATATACTTGTCTAGATCAGCTAAATTAAACAATCTGACCAAAATTGTTGTGTGGGTACATTGCCAAAACAAGTGAATGACATCTACCTCAGAAGAGTGACAAAAACGAAGTGATGTGTGAGGGTTTATTGGTAAAAATATTGCACAAAGAATAAACAGTAGCAGCCTACACAAACATAAACCTTTTCTGTAGTTTAGAGGACACTTAATTATAATCTCTTACAAGATAATTAGTCACAATTTACAGTATTTCTAACAGTAAAGTTCATGTCTGTCAGGAACAGTATTATAGTGCACAAAACAAGGGCTTACTATGATGGTGGGAAAAGGCGTTAAATAATTTTATCTGTTTTATTATGACAAAAATATATAATGAATAAACATACAATAACAATTTCTGCATTAGAAAAATAATCATTCACTCTAGTTAAATTACCAAAAAAACAGCAACTATTGAAAAAATAAAGAAAAGCTGGAATCTTATTTCTTACATAATCTATAATAATTACAGTTTACAGTGAAGCAAAAGTGTTTTACACATGTGAATTACTACAGTACACATTATTGCACATTACAAACTAGCCATGCATCACATGGTATATGTACAAAACTCTCAATACTCCTTACACAAGTGTCCAATAACACGGACCCCTGCTCCAGATGTTTGAATACAAAGAGATTAATTGACCTTGATAATGCAAATCCGTTTCCTCAAGGGAAAATACAAAGTCTGAGGTTCAGCACCTAACATGTAATGTTTCTGCTTTTACAGGGATACTGTGTCATTTGCAAGTGTGTGACAGGCTGGATTTGTTCTCTGCATGTGTGTGTGTGTTTGCTGGTTTGGAGGCACTCCCCTAAACTTCAATATTTCAGAACAGTGCGGGCCGGTGGCCAGCTGTTTTGCCAACACTCTTGAGCAGGACAGAGCAGCAGAACCTGCCCACAGAAAGCAGCCAGGGGCTGAGTGAAAGGTCACAGATCTGTAGCAAGCATGAGAAATAATGGCATTTAGTATTTTCATGTCAACATACATTTATAATATGCAATGGAAAATTTAAGCAGTCATATTTACCTGTCAAAATCATGCAATGCCAAAGCAGCCAATCACATGACAGAGCAAACGCCAGTCTGCAGGTTCTGCCCGTTACGATTGGAGCTTCTTTTTGCGTACCTGAAGAATTTTAAGTCATTAATCAGAGCACGTATGGAAAGAAAATCAATACTTAATTGATCAAATCAAATCCTGTCCCACATTTGTCCTGTTTTACTTAAAAATATGCAGATTAGGGAAGTAAAATATGCTGTTCTTTTGTTACTATTTACAAAAATGTTGAATTAGCTTTCATTTTAATTTTAGTATAAGTTTTAGTAATGTTGTTATGTGCTTTTGTCATATATTTCTTTTCAAATATATCTTTTTGGTTTTAATTTCTTTTTATTTCAGTTTTAGTTTTAGTACTTAAGCTTATTTCTGTTAGTTGCCAAGGCAACACTTCTAATTTTTGTTGAAGTTTTTTTTAAGCTCATGTAATATTTTTATTTTATTCTGGCTTTATTTCAACTAATGATTAAAAAAGTTTTAGTTAACAATAACAACAATGAAAAAAGGGTTATGTGCTTTTGTCATTTTTATTGTTTTGGTGGTGGTGGTGGGGGGTATATTTTTATTTCTATTTAGCTTTAATTTATTTTTATTTTTATTTCAGGTTTAGTTTTAGCAATTTTGGTACTTACTAAGTAACCAACTAAGTGAAATACCTTTAAATTCATCAAAAAAAAATTTTATTCATTTTATTTCAGCGTTATTACCTAAAACAATTTTGAAAAGTTTATGTTTCAGTTAACAATAACAACACTGAAAATAGGTTTTAAATAGCACATTAACTGTAAACTGTTTTTGGTGAACTAAAACACTCACGATGTCCACTAATAATGTTAGTTGAGGTTTCTTGCACCAAAAACATCATAATTTAGTCTTACATCATTATTTTCCACCTTCTCTCTAACCAGTCTTTCTGCTACTGTCCCTTTAAGATGTAAATCACCTCTATCATGATTGGCTAGCCTTCTCGAATGTGAAATGAGTAACAAGGTCACTGCTAAGTAGCTGGAAACTGTTCTTAGTTGGTCTCCCAGACAGGTCAGACTGGTCTATTGGCTAGTTTTACAGCATCTTGGCCAGATTGGAAGACCAGTTTAAACCAGCTTTTAAGCATTTTCTTTCTTTCTTTTTTTTCAGAAGGTATGTAAATGTACAAGGTCATATGTTAATGCTGTCATAACTGTGACCTTATAAAAATGGTGGCTTCTGTATAACACATTTTCACAGCTTAATTATCAAACTTAGAGTTTTCGTTCAAATTATCAAACAAAGGTCATGTTTTCCATAATTTACACACAAATACATACCCATTTAGGTCCGCTGGCTGCGAGTGATACACATGTTTGCTCTTCTCTGCAATGGTGAGGGTCCCGACATGGGTGGTCTCGCTGTGACTGACCCGGACCGGGTGATACTGACTCTTTGACTCGGTGGAGCCGGAGGGCACGCTCATCTGATTGCTGGGAATGTTGCCGTTTGGTTCTGGGGTCTCAGCGAACAGCTTCTTGCGCACGGATTCAGGTGTGGATGTTGCGATGACCTTGATCTCAGGCACAGGAGTCTGTTTCAGACGGAGACAGGCCTCAGAGTGGGCCAGCTGAAGTTTCTTCATGTGGTGAATGGCCACTGTAGCGTTGAAGGCTTGCTGGAGTGACGAGATCATGATTTCAGACAGTCAGTAGAGCGCAGGAAACAACTAAACAAGCTGTTTCAGTTTAGCACCTAATCTTTATAGTGAACTATGAAGTCAGATGAAAAACTACCAATGCATTTTAATGGTGCACAAAAATTGAAATGTTTGGCTATGTAAGCAAAGTATGCAAATTTCACTGTTTGGATAAAATAGCTACTTTTGCCCTAATTTGCAGCATACAAACAGAGCTTACTGCATTGTCTCTCAAAATGCAGTGCACTAAGCTTGATCTTCAATGACCAGTTTTACAATGAAATGAAATAAGTAGCGATTATTTTCATATTCAGTATATACTGCACAGTATGCACTTAGCAGTGTGCTAATAATCGATCCGTTCCAAATATAATGGCTATTAAAAATATTTATAGATGTTATGCAATATGCGCTGCTGTTCAAATATTTGGGCTTAGTAAGAATGTTAATGTTTTTGAAAAAAAGTCTCATGCTCAAGAAAGGTGACGTTATATGAAATACAGTAAAAATACAGTAAAACTGTAATATTGTGAAATATTATAACAAATTAAAATAACTGTTTTTATATGAATATATTGTAAAATGCAATTTATTCCTGTAACGTAAAGCTGAATTTTCAGCATCATTATTCCAGTCTTCAGTGTCACATGATCCTGCAGAAATCATTCTAATATGCTGACTAATATCTAATAATCATTTCTGATTATTATCAATGTTGAAAACGACTGCTTTTTTTGTTTAGAATATTTGTGGAGAAAATGTGATACCATTTTTTTTTCAGGATTTTTGACGAATAGAAAGATTAAAAGAACATTGGTTTGAAAAATTGTAACATTTTAAATGTCTTTACTGTCACTTTTGATCAATTTAATTCAGGTTTGCAGAAAAAAAAGAATACACTTCTTTAAAAACAATTAAATTGGTAATGTACACAGTCAAATTTTTTTTTTTTTAATTGCATGTGAAAGAGAAAGCATAAATGTTTTAAGAGTATGCTTTTTCTCATCAAGTTGCATGTTTGAAATAAAAATGGTTATCTTAATTTATTTTTGTGTTCGAATGTGTTAAGATTTGGTAGCTTATATCACTTTTGGTCGTAGTAGTAGAAGTTCAAACTGAGTGTGTTGCATTGCATTGATGTGCCACATCACAAATTCACATTCTCTGGAAAAATGTCAGAGTTTGAGTTCATTTCCTCTCAACATGGTAGCCCCCATAAGAAGGAGACCCATTTTATGTCAAATAAATCTGGCAGCTGATTTGATTAGGAGAAAATACTTTAGCACTGCTTTAAATGTCTCAAAACTGGTCTGTTCCAGATATTCACACAGATGGAGCAATTATAGGCAAGACGGGTGACCAAATCAGCCACTCGTATTTAAAGCCGAATTGTGTAATCAGTCCAGAGGTCATCTGAAAAAGCCAACTCAGACTAAACCACAGGAGACACACTCTAACCCGAGAATACACCGAGTTATGAAACATGACCTTACCTTCCACTTGGACTTGGCAAAGTTCTTCTGGATCTGCTCGCTGACGGAGTGGTAGATGTCCTGACTCCGGGCCGTCTTTCCTATAATCCTGCAGGACAAAGCTGGATTTAAAACCAGAGCTGGTGGAAAACAGAAGGATTTTGTTTCCTGTTTTAACCAATCCCTAAGACAGAAATAAGTTTAGTTTGATCTAAACAGTTCTTGACTGTGGGAATCTCTGGTTCCCACACTGTTTCACAAAAAGACTGTTTCTCCTGCACAGCTATGAGATTAAATGAAGAGCAAATGGAGACTTTTGCTTAAGTCTGAGAAGAAGAAAAAAAGACCCACATAACCTCATATGCATGCATCTCATCTAAAGTTTCAGAAGAGATGTTCAACATTGTCTCAAGACTGTGCTCAGATTCGCAAAGTCTGGGATATGAACTCAGTGTGTCTCATTAAATGAAGACTGAGTGATTGTTTTAGTATTATTTTTATGCTATTATAGTATTAATATTGAATATGCTTTTATTCGTTTCATTTCTCATTTTAATTTAAGTTTGAGTCATTTTGTCTTTTTTTTCAGATTTACTAGTTTTCCTGTTTTTTTTTTGTTTTTTTTAAAAATATATTTATTTAGCTTTATCTTTTTATTTCGGCTTTAGTCATTTTAATCCGTTCCAAATATAATGGCTATTAAAAATATTTATAAATGTTATGCAATATGCGCTGCTGTTCAAATATTTGGGCTTAGTAAGAATTTTTATGTTTTTGAAAAAAAGTCTCTTATGCTCACCAAAGGTGCCTTCATATGATCAAAAATACCGTAAAACTGTAACATTGTGAACTATTATTACAAATTAAAATAACTGTTTTTATATGAATATATTGTAAAATGTAATTTATTCCTGTGATCAAAGCTGAATTTTCAGCATCATTACTTCAGTCTTCAGTGTCACATGATCCTTCAGAAATCATTCTGATATGCTGATTTACTGCTCAAGAAATATTTCTGATTATTATCAATGCTTTTTTTGTTTAGAATATTTTTGGAGAAACTGTGATACTATTTTTTCAGGATTTTTGATGAATAGAAAGTCTCTCATTTAGTGTGTCTCATTAAATTAAGACTGAATTATGAGTGTTGTTTTAGTATTATTTTTATACTATTATAGTATTAATATTGAATATGCTTTTATTCGTTTCATTTCTCATTTTAATTTAAGTTTTAGTCATTTTGTCTTTTTTTCAGATTTACTAGTTTTCCTGTTTTTTTTATAAATATTTTTATTTAGCTTATTTTATTTCAGTTAGTTGCAAATGCAACATTTTTTATTGTAGTTTAAGTTTTCCATCTAATATTAATTTTTGATTTTATTTCTGCTTCATTTCAATCACCAAAAATATTTTAAGTTATTTTAAGTTTAAACTAAATGTTTTCATCTAATATTTATATTTTATTTCATTTTTGCTTCATTTCAATTACTGAAAATAATTTGTACACATTTTAAGGCTTATTAAGTTTTTTGTTTCATCTAATATTTATATTTTATGTTTTTCTGCTTCATTTCAATCACCAATTTTTTTTAAATAATTGTAATTTTTTTTAACTTACTCATATTTATATTGTATTTATTTTCTGCTTCATTTCAATTACCAAATATTATTTTTTATATTTTTTATCTAATATTTATATTTTATTTCTGCTTAATTTTCTGACCGAAAGTTACGTTTAATAGTTTTAGTTAGCAATGATGACATTGCAAATGATCTGTGCTATACGATCCATAATTTGATAGCTTTATACTCTTACTTTGTATCAGCAAGGTCTCATTTGTGTATTTCTGACATGTCTGATACATAAATGAAACAACAGAGATCTCCACTAAGGCTCATAAGATTTAAAGAGCACTAAATCTGTCCTATGATCACTCACCAGGGGTGTCTGAGAGCCTGTTCTGTGTCATAACGCATTTTAGGATTCTTCTGCATCATGTTGCGGATGAAGTCCTTTGCTAGAGAGATAATAAAGATGCATGAAGTTAAAAGCTTCGAGTTACAGCAGTGTTTTACAGAATCACATGAGATGATTTAGCAGTAGGGAAGTATAGGATGCTGACCAGACTCAGAGATATCATCCCAGAAGGGCGAGTCAAACTCATACTGCGCCTTCATGATTTTGGAAAACAGACGAGTCTCGGTTTCTTCATAGAAAGGAGGATATCCACAGAGACTGTAAAGATACAGCAAAGTAAATAAATGCAAACTTCCAGCAGGGGGCGCCGTGTTAATTAAGAACTAGGCATCCGTTTATCACTCTCTGTAAATAGCAGCGCTGTTTAAGGTCCTAAACTCACTTGTGGAGCAAATATAGTACAAAAATCAGTTTCTTAGAAATGACATCCCTACTAGGAATGACTTACAGGATGTAGGTGATGACTCCAATAGACCAGCAGTCAACGGCTTTGCTGTAAGGTTTCTGGGCCAATACTTCAGGGGCTGTGAGGAAATACAGATTATTAGAAACAACATGGTTTTAAATAGACCTTGTTTATTGTCTTAAATGTCCTTGGATTTATTGTGCAAGATCATAAGTGCATGTTATTTGCAAAACAAAACAAAAAAAAGTTGGTTTTTAATCAGTGTTGTTGTTAACTACAAATAAGTGTGTGTGTGTGTGTGTGTGTGTGTATAGGGCTAGGGCTATACATACACTAAATTTACTCAACCTTAAAACTGGAATAAAATAAAGCTAAGTAGAAATATTACATTAATAAAAATATTTTTAAAAAGCACTTAAAATTTCTATAAAAATTTAAAATAATAACGGAACATATAAAAATAAAAGCATATTAATATGTTAATAAATAGTAGAATAAATCAATTCTAATCACAGTACACTGTAAATATAATACAAAATAACACTTATTTTTTTATAATATTTAATCAAAATATCTACAATTGTAACAAAGTAAAATAAAAACTGAAAATATTAAAATGAAAGTATATCAATATACGTATAAATACTATATACATTAATATTAATAAATAATATAAATAATACCAAAAGAACACCTGTCTTCAAACTTTCTATCAAAATGCCCCAAATTTAAACTAATCTTACAATAAAAACTCAAATGATAAAATTAAAGCATTAATATACGCATAAATACTAAATACTGTAACAGTTAATAATATTAACATGTTTTTATAATCTATCTTACTCTGTCTTTTCTGCTGATGCAACCAGCACAGTTTTATAAAATAATATGAACAAATACTAATCCAGCACATGAACCACTCAGAGCACACTACAGCATTTCCCACTGAATACTGACTGTGTGTGACACTCAGAGAAACATCACATTACAGAAGGTGAATATTTTGTGAAATTTCTATCAAAAAGCAGCTGTGTATGCGGCCTTTCAGATTTACCGATGTGTCTCTTGTGCTTTGACATTCACTGGCTGTTTAACACCCCATTTATTTGACATCATTCCTACCGACATATCCTGGAGTCCCGCAGGCCGTGGACATGATGCCATTATCCTCCAACTTAGACAGGCCAAAATCACTGATCATGATCTTGGAGTTTTCATCAGGGCTGTAGTAGAGCAGATTCTCTGGCTCATATAATTCAGTAGTATTAATTGTTTAATACTTAAGTAGTATTATTCATTTATTTTATTTCAGTTTTAGTTTTAGTTTTAGTTCAGTTCTAGTTTTTTTTTTTTTCCAGTAATTTTAGTGCTTAAACTTAAACTGAAAAAAACAAAAAACAATAGCAAGCAACCCTAGAACATCTTTGCAACATCCTAGAAATTAATCAGAGCACCATAACAAATACGGAGGAAAAACTGACTCTGACATACTGCAGACAATTAAAAAATGTATTTAAGAAACTTGATTTTACAAACTAATTTTGTAAATGGGTCATTTGGTCAATTGGGATAAAGATTACATGTGAAATCCCTTATGCAATGAAAACAGTAATGGCTTGGGTTTCCAGGTGCATTGATAAACACAGGCCCGCAACCAGGTCAGCTGGCTAGGTTACAATTAGCCTGGGATTGGACGAATAAGACAGTCTTATCTAGGCTATAAAGAACGCTTGCTGAGATTACATGTGCTATCACTGGTTTAGCTGCTGCAAATCTGCATATTATTCAGGTAATACTCTTATCAGTGTTTAATAGCTGAACTTTTCCCATCTGTATTTTACACAGTGAAAATCCAAATTTTAAACAGCATCTTTGTGTTCACTATCACTTAAAAATATAAGAAAAAAACATAAAACTGCATAAGATATAACTTAACAATAAATAGTGATGGCAAAATTTAAAAAAAAATTACCTTTCATTAAAAAATTACAAAAAAATAATTAAGATTTAAAATAATCAAATTAAGTACATTATATGCTAATTAAGGCAATACACTACAGTCAATAACTTTTTTTACTTTCTATTTTTTGGAACTGGCCATTTTTGAGGCTTTTTTAAAAATGAGTCAAAACATGCTAAATAGACTTTTAAGTGTTTATTTTATTGCACTACATCTATTTAGGTCATTTTCTCAAAATTAGTTTTTTTAAATTTTTTCAGTATTTTTTTATACAATTTATACACCATTTTATTCCTATTTTTCTAACTGTGTTTACAGTATTTTCCGATTTATGGAGTGACGAAAAAAAAATCCCTTTTGTAACTCTACTCTAAAATGATTTTTGGAAGTTGTAAATAAAGCTTATTGGAGTACATTTGACAAGAAATTCAGTATTTCAACTTCAAAATGTTTAATGTTTAATTCAATGTGTTACTTGCCATTTCTTTGTAAATATTTGTGAAATACATTAGCAATTTCTGAGTGAAAATTTCTTTTTACATCAAAAAAAAAAGATCAGATGTTCAGATTACCATTCTGAAAATGTATGCAAATGAGCAAATATTTAATTAGATAATAGACTTGTTTACAAATAACATTCATGAAAACTTAAATGCAATTATTAATGTAATCAATCAAGTAGGAAGGTATAGTCATATTTATTCATTTGTACCCTATTCATGGGGTGCCTTGCCTTATTTCATGAAAATAATAGAGTATAATAATTTGCAGTATCAAAGCAATAGACAGCACATTGCAGGCCATGTCCGGTAGATTACCGCAAATCTGTCTCCATCCCGTTAGCCATTCCCTGACACCCGTGATCCCTGTTCTTGTCTGCCAAAGCGATTAACACACTCCGGTCTGGAGGTGTCTTAACCTCTGCTTTACCCTTGATTCACCTACAGACCAATACAATGAGAACGACAGCCGCAGGGTGACCTGAACGCTACACTCTCAGAAAAAAAAGGTACAAAAGCTGTCACTGGGGTGATATCTTTTCAAAAGGTACAACTTTGTATCTAAAGGGTCCATATTAGTACCTAAAAGGTGCAATTTTGAAAAGGTACTTCCACAGTCACTGCTTTTGAACCTTTATTTTTCTGAGAGTGTACAGACTTAACTGAATAAAACTCAACATCAGCCAATCAGATGTTTGGCTGAGACATTCCAATCCCACAGTAGCTGATAATTTAAGTCATGAATGGAAACCTGAACGGAAATCAAGGTCCCAAATAGCTGTTTCTGACGCTTGTGCTGTTCTCACAGTATCTGTCTTCAGGGACAGGGATCGCTCTACAGTCAGCAAAGACAATGTACAGCTGCTCATGTCTGCTGAGCTCACTGTCTAGTCGGCTTTCTTTCAACCGATTTAGGACAGCAGGGCCGGATCACTGGTGTCTGGTTCACCGTCTGAGACCCGTCGCGTTGCTCAGATGGGATAATGGACATTTAAACAGCTTATTCACAATCTAAATCATAATTCATGTTTATTCAAGGTGAGGAAGGCGTCGACAAACAGAACCATTTAAGTCATGAATGGAAACCTGAACGGAAATCAAGGTCCCAAATAGCTGTTTCTGACGCTTGTGCTGTTCTCACAGTATCTGTCTTCAGGGACAGGGATCGCTCTACAGTCAGCAAAGACAATGTACAGCTGCTCATGTCTGCTGAGCTCACTGTCTAGTCGGCTTTCTTTCAACCGATTCAGGACAGCAGGGCCGGATCACTGGTGTCTGGTTCACCGTCTGAGACCCGTCGCGTTGCTCAGATGGGATAATGGACATTTAAACAGCTTATTCACAATCTAAATCATAATTCATGTTTATTCAAGGTGAGGAAGGCGTCGACAAACAGAACTGAAATAACGTTAATCTGCCTCCTATTGGCTGAGCAAACTGATAGTCCCGCCTACAAACTGCAATTGTTTGTGCTCATGTTGAAATGATCAATGTTTCATTACAGACCAACAGTGATACACTTTTCAATGGAATCGGCCTCCAAAAGGTTTATGCGTATTAAACGTAGATAAGACAAATATTGTATAAAGTCACATAATTCACTAAGCTATTTTCTTGATCAAATTGCTACAAATCACAACACAAGACTGAAAATATTAAGACACAGTTAAAGCTGAATGCTCATGAGCTTTTTCTGAATGAAGCGCTAATGCCGAAGACCTGAATGCCAAGCTTGTAAAGCACTAAAGGCCAGTGTAAACCCGGTAAAGTTGGGTAAACAGGCATTTACGGGGTCAATCCTTCACCGGCTGGGTGAGCAAAAACAGCTTTCTTGGAAATGTCTCTTTAAATTTTTGAGAAACAAAAATGTGCAATGGCAACTTTTTAGTGTACTTTTTAAAAACTGTATTACTTTAACACTTTAAATTATTTTATGCATTTATTTATTATGGGAAGTACATTTAAGCAACACTGAAAAACTAATGTAGGATTTAAACTCAGAGATTGCTAGTAAAATTCACAAATAATTACAAAGAATTGTAAATTATTATTGTCTATTAAAAATATATATATTTTTAATGAAAATGTGATTTACAGGTTTGCAGGTAAATGTACTCCAACATACTCCAATAATCCTTGATTCATTTACAACTTCGAAAAAACAATTTTTTTTACAGTGTACTTTGTTAAAATAAAATTGTACCTCTGACATAAATTCCGTCAGGATATTTTTACTTCCAAAAACTAAAGCTTACCCTATTGACAAAGGTATGTTAATAAACCATTCCCAGCTTTTCAAATGAATGATAAGAAGAAGGAATTGTGTACTTACGATCCGAGCACCTCCATGAATTCAAACACATCCTGGATGTTATCCGTGCTCTTTTTCCAATCATAGTTGCCCTCCTTTCGGCCCATTTCTGCGTGAGCTTCTACAGGGATTTCTGGAGAGGATAAAAAAAAGAACATAAACGATTTACAAAGTGACCAACAAAGACCTACGTCTATGATCTGTTCGATCTGTTTGGAAAAAGTGAGTAATAATTCAAAGCTTTGTGAATATACCTTTACTTTTAGCCAAAACAATCCCAAATATTCCTAATATTCCTATACTAATCGGGTTTTGGCTGGTCAGTGTACAGACTCGTATATGTGCGTCTTAATGCTGGAGTTTAGGTGACTTTTATGATTGATGCATGGCACATTTGTAAAGGAAATATCTCTGATTCTATTTTAACTGGAATATCTATGGAGTTTGCAGGTGGATTTTGTCCAATCTACACCCTTTGCATGTCCAAACCGGATATAAAGGTGTCCACAAGCATCAAATGTTTGAATGCATTTAATAAAGTCATCATCTTCAACAAAACACATCTAGAAAACTGAACAATCCATCAACTGCACACAAAGACAGCACAAATGGCGAAAGCTGGAATGACTGGTTATTTTTCACCATGTTTATTTTGAGGTTTCTTCATAAAAGGAGTTCAAATATAAATACAGATTTGTCTTCCGACATAAAACGACTTCTCTGGGATTAGCAGTACTGAGTTCTGGTAAGTCTTGCTTTCATTCGGCTTATATAACAGGTTAAAGACTGACCTTCTGGATCGACCTTAAAACAATTCACTACCTGAGTTCAGAAGGTCAACTGCATTTTATAACTTCAAAAGCCATAAATATCATCAGTTTGCCACTAAACGTGTCGCTGAGTACCCCAAGGTGGAGAAAACCCTATGGAATGGAGTATTTTGTAGACTATTAGTAGACTGCTCGTAGACTGCTTAATAAACAAATTAGGTAACCTAAAGAGAAAAGGAACATCCAATTAGGAGGCATGAATGGACTACAGCTCTCAAAGAACACAAGGACTCGGGTGAACTCACATAGTTGCATGCAGCCATATATCATCACTGCAATAAACAATATCTTTGCAGAATTATGATAGAGACTGGTCAACAAACAAATAAATAAATAAAACTAAAATAAACAAACATACATACATTAAAATGAAGGCATGTCAATTTGTTATGAAATTCATAAAAATATTATCTGTAAAATTACAAATATATTAATGATTCAAATAAACATGAATTGAAAATAGTTTCAAATGAAGATAACTGTTTAAAATATTCATTTCATTTAAATAAATTTGACAACAAATGCATTTAAGTAATCATTTTTAAAATTACAAATACATTAATAACTCAAATAAAATTAAGATACATATTTAAAACATTAAATTAATTAAATTATAAATATATTAATAATTAAAAATACAAAAATTTAATTAATATCAATAATTAAAAATGTAATTCATTTAATAAAGTATAATAACAAATTACAATAAAATTTAATTGAATTAAAATGCATAATAATTTACAATAAAACCACATTTAACAAATATTTAAAATAAAACACAATATTTTTTAAATAACTTTTTTCTAAAAGTTCAAAACAAACAGAACTCCCACTCCATTATACTCACAATTTCATATAATATTTACAATATTTCACAGAAAATTCTAACACTACCTTGACAAACCTATAGTTTTCAACGTAAGATTGGATTACTTTGCCTACAGATCCCTTTTCTACATAATTTTCCCATTCAAATGACTAACATTAACTGGACATAACAGTCGACTCATCTTTCCCGTTGTTTTAAATGATTAAATTCTAATATTAAAATGCATATTGCAATGCACAAAATTAAAAAAAAAAAAAAAAAAAAGTTCAATGCAAAGATGTTGCATTACACTTGCAGTCTCTCTTTGCTCACATAAAAAGAACATTCTGAACTTGCCTGGCTTTGTCTTTACCATGCAGCCCCTTTAATGTGCGTCTGTGGACTAACCACTCATATATCCATACCAACATAAACATGCAGCTCAGCACGCATCATTTAATCATGCAGCGCATGTCCCGGTGCGAGATGCCCCATACACCTCCGTGACTGACGACGGGATCTAGTCTGTTCATGCACAAACCAGCCTGCACCTTTAATGTGCACGTGATGCATTAATTAAATGATTAAATTCTAATATTAAAATGCATATTGCAATGCACAACATTACAAAAAAAAAAAAAAAAAGTTCAATGCAAAGATGTTGCATTACACTTGCAGTCTCTCTTTGCTCACATAAAAAGAACATTCTGAACTTGCCTGGCTTTGTCTTTACCATGCAGCCCCTGTGGACTAACCACTCATATATCCATACCAACATAAACATGCAGCTCAGCACGCATCATTTAATCATGCAGCGCATGTCCCGGTGCGAGATGCCCCATACACCTCCGTGACTGACGACGGGATCTAGTCTGTTCATGCACAAACCAGCCTGCACCTTTAATGTGCACGTGATGCATTACTTAATCATCACTCACGAAGTGCATTCTGATGCATGCATGGGTGATTCTTTTACAAACAGCCAGTTTTTGACCTTACCTTCAGGTCTGTAACAACTCCAGCACGATCTCTGTCTCTTGCAGAAATGATCAAGGCTCAAGCAAGGACAGCAGTGACAAAGAATGACATGCGAGGAGAGAGTAGGCTGCGCAGATCTCAACGAGACCTGTTGGGCCAGTCAGGATAATCTCACAATACACAGCGCGACACTTCCTCCTTTAATAGGCTTGAGCAAATCTCAGACGGGAATTTTAGCCGTCCTGCTACTGAGCATGTTACGACATTAAAGACCAATGTCTACAATAAAAATAGTAAATATTATTAAAATGTTTATTTTGAATGTAGATTTAATAGTTCACTGGCAGTCAAATTTTGAACAAACCTACTGATTTTAAAAAATTTGGGATAAACTTTTAATTGCATACATAGATACACTATACAACTATGCTATACGTAACTATTGCATTTATTATTATTTTTTAAATAGTGTTAGTTTACACACACACACACACAAAATAGACTTTAGATATTTATATTTTGATTCTAGATTGAATAGTTTACTAGCAGTTGAAAGTCTTGACACACCTACAGATTGATTGATTACCTATATTTTGGAACTATATGATAATAAAATATGATTACAAAATTATATTTTGGATCTAGAGTTAATTTAGACACCTACTGATCATGTGTTTTTGTTTTTACATAAAGTTTAATATATATTGTAATATAATCTATAAATATTATTATATAATAATAATGATTATATATATATATATATATATATATATATATACTTAATCATCACTCACGTGATGCATTCTGATGCATGCATGGGTGATTCTTTTACAAACAGCCAGTTTTTGACCTTACCTTCAGGTCTGTAACAACTCCAGCACGATCTCTGTCTCTTGCAGAAATGATCAAGGCTCAAGCAAGGACAGCAGTGACAAAGAATGACATGCGAGGAGAGAGTAGGCTGCGCAGATCTCAACGAAACAGACATTTGCAACGCGTCCGAAATGCAATGATGCACATTCCTGTGCAATTAATGCAGTGTGATCGGTATGCAAAAATCTTTCATATGAAGTGTGCATTTAACATGCAAATCACTCACGGTCATCTATCCAAGAAAAGTTGATTTCTTCATCAATTGTTGCGTGCACTCAGACAATAAAATACACTTTAAATTACCGTGCTCATGCATTGCATGCAAATATAATTAGTTGCAATAACTGCACGTCAACATGAACACTGTAAATTAAAGTCTGACCTGTTTTTAGCAGCCTCAGTCTCGTCTGATCTCTGTGAATGGGACAGGAATCGGCTTTACTCGGGTCAGCGTCCCGTCCTTTAACTTACCTAGAGGCAAGTGCGCAAGAGATGCCCCGCTCTGACTCTCCTGCCAAAAGCCCGCAGCAGTCTGGACAGATTAAGTCCGTCGAGAGGCGCACAAATAACCAACAGGTTGGAGATTACATGAGCTGTCGATGAAGGAGGAGCGGATTCTCAAGGTCTCTTCTAAATGACTGTCTACATGTGATGTCATCTAAATGCAAAAAAAACTTACTGTAAAAGCTGTAGTTGCCAGCACCTTGCAATAAATATGTTTAACTAACGTTACACTGAACGGTAAAAACTGCTAGCCTATATTTAATTTACTAATGCATGCCATCTAAAGTGAGACAATCTGTTTTGTACGTGTCTTTACCAATTAACAAGGTTAAAATATCACTTTTTATAACTATATATATATATATATATATATATATAAACTATGGTTACAAATGGTTCAATTGGCGGTAGCCATTGACTTCCATAGTATAGAAAAACAATTGAAGTCAATAGCTACCATCAGCTGTTTGGTTACTTACATTCTTCAGAATATCTTCTTTCGTGTTCAACAGAAGAAACAAACTCATACAGGTTTGGAACAAGTGAAGGATGAGTAAATTATGACAGAATTGTCATTTTCGGGTGAACTATCACTTTAACCAACATGGGGTTTTCAATTGACTTATCAATATCAATATCTGGTTAGCAGGAGCAAAGTTTTAACATTTTATGAAAGCATGTAGGCCTACTATGTAAACAAAATTGCTTTTAAAAATGTATACTGTACTAAACTGGCTGTCAGTAGATTTTAAAACGGACACTATAGGTGAACCATAAAAACATGGTGGACACTGCATGAACACATTATCTGACAATAAACCAAAGATCATTTGTGTGTTTTCTGAAAATGTGAGTGTGTTTGCATGTGCAAAACTCCCACGCTGCAATGCCATAGCACTGCTTTTTGGTTGCTAAATTGTATTCAGCTATTTATTCTATTTATGTGAGTGATAGCAGTGGTAATCCAGGTCACTTTTCATACCAGATTTAAAAGAAGAGCCAGACAGTTCTTAATAAAGCAAGACAATGTAGATCACTTCTGCACAGCATCATCAGCAGGAGGAAGAGTATGAGGCAGCACTCATGTACTCGTCTCAGTGTCGTTAGAGTGAGTTTATGGGATTTCTGAAGGCTTTAGTAAACGCACACTGTCTTTTTGAATCACACGTTTAATCTGAAGCCACCCAAAAGTCATTACTAAAATGAAACCGCTCAGTCACTTGTGATGGGCTGCATCAGTGTTTTGGTTTACAGCGTCCCCTGAGCTCAAGGGTGAGGTTATTGCATGCTACCTGTTGGGCCAGTCAGGATAATCTCACAATACACAGACACTTCCTCCTTTAATAGGCTTGAGCAAATCTCAGACTGGAATTTTAGCCGTCCTGCTACTGAGCATGTTACGACATTAAAGACCAATGTCTACAATAAAAATAGTAAATATTATTAAAATGTTTATTTTGAATGTAGATTTAATAGTTCACTGGCAGTCAAATTTTGAACAAACCTACTGATTTTAAAAAATTTGGGATAAACTTTTAATTGCATACATAGATACACTATACAACTATGCTATACGTAACTATTGCATTTATTATTATTTTTTAAATAGTGTTAGTTTACACACACACACACACAAAATAGACTTTAGATATTTATATTTTGATTCTAGATTGAATAGTTTACTAGCAGTTGAAAGTCTTGACACACCTACAGATTGATTGATTACCTATATTTTGGAACTATATGATAATAAAATATGATTACAAAATTATATTTTGGATCTAGAGTTAATTTAGACACCTACTGATCATGTGTTTTTGTTTTTACATAAAGTTTAATATATATTGTAATATAATCTATAAATATTATTATATAATAATAATGATTATATATATATATATATATATATATATATATATATATATTAAAATATTTTAAATATATGTATGTATATATATATATATATATAAAGATTTTCAGCTACAGATGATGATGATGTGTGTGCACATATGTACAGTATGTATATCTTTTTAATATAATTATGTAAAATATTTTAATATTATTTTCTTTTTAAAATGTACATATGACCATCAATATAATATAAATAACTGTCTACATAAAAGTAGAGAACAATTTAATATTTGTATTTGAATATATTGTAATATTAAGTATTTTTTCATATAAATACTAATTATTTTAAATATATGAATCAGCCAGTATTACAAGTAGATAATACTCTTATTTTACAGAATTAAACAGTTTCTGGACAACTTTTGTCTGTGCAGTTAGAAAAAGTACCAACAGTTATTCTATTCTATTGCACATTATAATGTTTTGATGCCTGATTTCACTACTTGAAAACAAGTACCAAAAAAAGGTACCAAAAAATTCTTCAATCACAGATATTTCAGCATGTTAAACTGTAGATTGGAGCTTTATTGAGCTTTTTTTTTTCCATTTAAAAAAATGCTAAAACTGTAGATCTACAGATATCAACCATCATGTTGTTGATCTACATTTCTTTGGCTGCCAATTACTGTATACCTATATCAGCCAAAGTAATATATATAGTATCTGTGCATCGCTATGCAGAAGAAAATCTAAAGAAATCTGGCATTATATTTGTATGTTACCACTATGTCTATGTGGTAGTTACCACTATTCTGTGTGGTGAAAGCTAACATTAACCTGTGCCGTACTCAGGTCACGTTGAGCCCATGCGGTGATTGTCTATAAAATAAGATTAAAATGTATGAATTTATATTTTGGAACTACAGTTCATTTAGACACATTAACTGATTATTTATTATACATTTTATAATAATTAAAATAATTCCAGAAATTTACAATTTCTAAAATTGTAAAAAAAAAATAAAAAAAATTTTATGATCAAATTTATAATTTGTATACGTACAAAACTAATTCCAAGCATTTAAGCCTTTACATCGAATTGTTTTTTTTAGAGCATGTGAAACAAATTTTGCCAAAATGTCCAAACTTTTGCCTGGTAGTGCACATTGTATTAGCTTACCTTTGTGATGCTGTTTTTTGTTGACCAGTGCTTTGTGCTGCTTGATGAAGTATGATGGCATCGCTGGCTAAACTGCGTCCAGTGGCAAACGTATGCATGCTACCTGTTGGGCCAGTCAGGATAATCTCACAATACACAGACACTTCCTCCTTTAATAGGCTTGAGCAAATCTCAGACTGGAATTTTAGCCGTCCTGCTACTGAGCATGTTACGACATTAAAGACCAATGTCTACAATAAAAATAGTAATTTTGAATGTAGATTTAAAAGTTCACTGGCAGTCAAATTTTGAACAAACCTACTGATTTTAAAAAATTTGGGATAAACTTTTAATTGCATACATAGATACACTATACAACTATGCTATACGTAACTATTGCATTTATTATTATTTTTTAAATAGTGTTAGTTTACACACACACACACACAAAATAGACTTTAGATATTTATATTTTGATTCTAGATTGAATAGTTTACTAGCAGTTGAAAGTCTTGACACACCTTTATAATAATTAAAATAATTCCAGAAATGTACAATTTCTAAAATTGTAAAAAAAAATTAAAAACATTTTTATGATCAAATTTATAATTTGTATACGTACAAAACTAATTCCAAGCATTTAAGCCTTTACATCGAATTGTTTTTTTTAGAGCATGTGAAACAAATTTTGCCAAAATGTCCAAACTTTTGCCTGGTAGTGCACATTGTATTAGCTTACCTTTGTGATGCTGTTTTTTGCTGACCAGTGCTTTGTGCTGCTTGATGAAGTATGATGGCATCGCTGGCTAAACTGCGTCCAGTGGCAAACGTAACGCTCTCAGGAACGCCAGTGGAAGTCTGTCTTATGTGCGAGATGTTGTCTCATGTATCCTGGGAGGAACGATGAACCTGGGCGAGACAGTACTCTCATTAAAACACTCTGTGTACGGTGTTGCCATGGTGGGGAGAGGAAACATGGCAGATAACCGGACATGAAGATCTCTAGATGCTTCTGTTTCAGGGAGGGTGATTTGCGTAAATGGGAATACAAATGTGGAGACGAGGAACCTGTTTCCACCTAAGAGGGTTTCACAGAGGGTGCGAATCACTTTCTCACAATCCAGTGCAAAGTAAATGAACTGACAGTGTTTGCTCCAGATGTTGCGCATTACCTATACTAACATCTACAGTAATTACACAGATCGACTAACCATGTAGACATGTTTTTCTGCCAGATTCGTGTCTGAAAGTGTTATGACCCTTCTTCTCAGGTTAGACATGATTTTTGTGTGAATTATATCAATGCTACATGATATCAAAATGGCTCTGATGATATCAATTCTTCACTGAATATCCACCAGATTTGAAATCAAATTATAAGATGGAGCGAACATGTCGAAAGTCTTTAGGGGACCCCTAATGATGTCGAACGTGACCAACAGAAAGGGAAATATATTTCTTTGCCCTGCACAACGTCTACCAAGGATGGGATGGTGGTCATGCATAACAGTGATTTCACCCCTGTAGCTCATTTCTAACTGATGGTTACAGTCACTTTGTGCTACAACAGTCCCAAATCTTTTTCTCTTTATCAGTAAAACACCTAATCATCTTCACAACGAGACACATTCACCTGATAAACAAGAAAACTGTGTAAGATATCACGACTTGTTTCCAGAGAATATTTCTTTCCCACTTAAATTGACTTATATTCAATATAGCCATGCTGTACATTCCCTGAAATTATACTTTGATATAAAAGAAATGAGAACATTTCTGACTAATACATTTGGGATTCTTATTGATTCAAGTTGTAAATGAACAAAGATTATTGGAGCACTTTTTATAAGAATATACTATTTTAGTGTTTCTACTTAAAAAACGTTTAATTCAGCATGTTACTTGCTTTCTAATTAATTGTGAAATTTACTGAGCAAAAATTGTTTGTACACCAATAATCATTTTGTATTTTTTTAGTATATACAGTATATAACATACTACTGTTTAAAAGTTTGAGGTTGAAAGAACTCTATTATACTCACCAAGGCTTCATTTGTTTGATCAAAAATACAATAGAAACAGTAATATTGTAAAAATATTATTATGGCTATTTTCTATGAATATATTTTAAAATGTGATGTATTTCTGTGATGCAAAGCTGAATTTTCAGCATCATTACTCCAGTCTTCAGTGTCACGTGATCTTTCAGAAATCATTTTAATATGCTGATTTGCTGCTCAAGACATATTTCTTATTATGCTGAAACTGCAATAGTGAGAGTCATTTTTTTAAATAAATTTAATGTATTCTTGCTGAATGGAAGTATCGTTTAAAAAGTGCCCTCAAATGTTTGAACGGTGCATATGGACTCATATGTATTCCAAATACATTCTCAGACTTTTGGACCCGATTGCATGTGAAGATTCGTCCCAGAGAAAATGGTGAACTAATGCAGCTAGCAATCTAACCTAGCATCATTGACCTGAGACGGGGTGACTCGTGCAAGTCCAGCAGCTCAGTCTTTTCATTCAGAGCTCTTTAAATGTTTCTGCTGGACCCCTGTGGGTCTCTAATCAGGCAATATTATCCCATTTCCAGCTGCATAAATCTTATATGTGACCACAACTAGCTTGGAGTCTGTTTTGGAAGGATCGTTAATTCCTGGATTTCTTCCTGTTTTCCTTTGGCAGTAGTTCAGTCGTATTTGCTGTAAATCTGTCCTGCCAGCACATCAGTCACTCTGCCAAGTCAAACAGCCCTATATGGCTAGAAGAGCGTGCAGCACAACAGGACTGGCAGTCTTCAAAACGCCTGTTATTAATGTAATCATGAGCAGAACAACTGACTTAAAAACTCTACATGTAGTATGAACAAAAGATAATGATGCCTCAATTTGAATTTAGTGTTAGATAATGGAAAAGAGGAATCTATGGAATACCCTAGTAGTGCACTAGTGTAGAACAACACTGTGCATTAGCCATTTTCTTATGTATCTATCCTGCAGGATAAAATCAGAAGTAAAAGATTTGCTGAAAAGACAACAAACACTGCTTAGGTCTGCTCCCCTTGTTTTTAATCACCAAATACAGTTTGAAACGGGAGAGATGCAGTTCTGTTGGGTTAACCAGCATAGTGAATCACACCATGTTCATGACTATAGGTACGTGAGTGCATAATAAATCAGACTCAAGGAGTTTTGGATCAAAGACCCCCTGAGAATGGATGCACAGGTGCTGCAATGTACATCACTAAATGTGGAAAAACTACCAAGAAAAGAACAACCGATATCTCTCAAATCTCTCAGTTTATACAGTATAAACTAGCCACAATATAGGGCTTATAGTGCGTAGAAGAAAATATAAAAAATAATGTTGTAGTTTCATCAGAAAGCTTGTCGGCACGCACAAGTAAATGAGGACAATTCATGTAGACTTGCTATTTTAAATGAAATATATCAAACAGCAACCAGATTACATAACAAAGGACATGTGATAATGGAATGTTATGCATATGAAAAGGAAATAAATGAATTAAAAGACATATTTGAAAAACTGAAACTAAGCTTTACTTTAAAAACATCCTTGGAGCTGCATTGAGGAAAATATATGCACAGTTTATAATTTTTTTTTTTTTTTTAAAGAAACAGGCCAAGTCTGGTTGTGGTTTGCACTGTTTATATTTTTAACTGAAACTAAGCTTTACTTTAAAAACATCCTTGGAGCTGCATTGAGGAAAATATATGCACAGTTTATAATTTTTTTTTTTTTTTAAAGAAACAGGCCAAGTCTGGTTGTGGTTTATTATTATTTTCTTTTTTCCTTCTTTTTTCCTGCCAGATCCATGGATTCCTTCAGATCCACACTCCAGAACACCTTTTTAAAGACAACAGAACTTTTTAAAAATAATTTAGTTCAAATTCTCTCCCTCCATTTGTTTTAGTCCACACTGATGCTCTATACTCCATCTCAGTAGGTGGCAGAAATGCACAATAGCAACCACCACTAAATTGAAAGAAGATGTAGTTTGGCGGGATTTTTTTGGCGGAAAAAACAGTTGACGCGCGAATCCAAGTATAACTCTGAAGTGATTTGACGAAAAGCTATGATCAGGATGTGGGTGTTGTTTGGTTTCATGATCATGCTGATACTTGCCGTAGGTAAGACGTGATTTATATTGTTTAATTGTTTCGATTTGCAAGTTGAATCATGCCTCGGCTGTCTGGGTACACCGGCTCCGTTTCAAAAACAAGTGAGACGAGTGACTACATAAGCTAAATCCTTTAAGAGCCAAATAAATAACTGATGTGATATGCTCCTAGCGAATAGCGCTTGTCTTGTGAACCACAGGAGAGGCTAAATAGTTGATTCTAATGATAACATATAGCCAGTAGTGGTTCTAACGTGTATGGCGCCATGTTAGCCATGTCTAACTGTCACATGTGCAGCTCTGCTACAATGTAGATAATAATTAGCACACATACTTTTTCGGATGAAATAACATGTGTAACAACTTCACTTAATCTACCTCACTTCATGTTTGCTCTTGATTCTTGAATGGATTGGGGTTTTTTTTGCCAAGGTTGTTGCAATGCATTGTGGGAGTATGTGCAGAAATGCTGCTTTGGTGGGAAACTCATTAGATTTAGACAAACATTCCATTTCTTTATAATCTGTCACTTAAATAAGGTGAAATGTAGAAAAATAGCAAATTTTAGGACTATTCTGAACATTTTTGGTTAAATGAGGAAAAGTAGAATAAGCCTATTCTTTCAGTAACTTAATGTGTTACTAATATATTACCATTTTGAGATTATTCAAATAGATAATCAGCCTTGTTGGCAAATTAAAGGGGTCATATGATGTTGCTAAAAAGAACATTATTTGGTGTATTTGGTGTAATGAAATGTGTTTATGCGGTTTAAAGTTCAAAAAACACATTATTTTCCACATACTGTACATTATTGTTTCTCCTCTATGCCCCGCCTTTCTGAAACGCGTCGATTTTTACAAAGCTCATCGATCTGAAAAGCGAGGTGTGCTCTGACTGGCCAGCTATCCAGTGCACATTTGGGCGGCGTTATGCAAATCTTCCCACATAGTGAGGTAGACATGTGGGGGCGTGTTAGAACGACCCGTTTTAGGAGGGCGTGGCAGAGTCTTAACTTTTATAAAGAATATCTCTTTGGATTTGAGACTTTAGTCTTTGCAACTTTACAGATCTTCTTTATGCACCAAGAGCTTGTAACACTCCAAAGAGAAAGAAAAAATTGAAATCGCATCATATGACCCCTTTAACAGATTTAGTTCAGGCTACAATGTTAAACTGAATTCTTGGCGACAGTTTTTCTGAATATAAATCTGTTATTGACGTGCTGAGCAAACGATTGTAAAATCTTAATGTGAATCTAAGTTTGAATCTGTATTACTAATTGTCTTACAGTTAAAATATTCAAATATTTATTTTGACAGGTTCTTGTACGGAATGCAAAAAGGTGGCTGTAATTGAGGGTGGAAATGCTAGCCTACCATTCGTAACTTCTGGGTTGACTTTTTTCTACGAAATACATTGTGAAGAGAGGACAAAGACTAAGATCGGTCAATACTGTGGTCCTGCTGATAACTGCAACACCAAGAGTACAACTGGAGTTTCAATAGAGACTGGCCATCTAATTGTATATAATGTCACCTACAACAGATGCTACAGTGCCATTCCAGAAAAAAATACACCAGGAAAAGACACATGTTATAATGTTACTGTCAACAGTGAGTATGTTACTTCTGGTGTTACAAATAACATTTTA